TGTATGTGCGTGCGTGTGTGTATGCATAATCTCAGAAATGAATGGTAACCATTTATATAATTTGTTAAAAAAGGAAAAGATGCACTTCAGAATATTACTGAGGAATGAGCCAAATTCATTTCTTAATTCTGTCTGAAAATCTCATCATTTTCAACGTGCCTAAACTTATCCTGAATACTAACTTAGAATAGAATAGAGCTGGAAGGGACCTTGGAGGCCTTCTAGTCCAGCCCCCTGCTCAAGCAGGAGAACCTATACCATCTCAGACAAGTGACTGTCTAGCCTCTTTTAAAAAATCCCCAGTGATGGAGTGCCCACAATTTCTGGGGGCAAGCTATTCCACTGCTTAATTGTCCTGTCAGGAAGTTTCTCCTTAATTCCAGGTTGCTTCTCTCTTTGATCAGTTTCCAACCATTGTTTCTTGTCCTGCCCTCTGGTGCTTTGGTGAATAACGTGACCCTCTTCTTTGTGGCAGCCCCTCAAATACTGGAATACTGCTATCACATCTCCCCTATTTCTTCTTTTCTTTAGACTAGCCAAACCCAAGTCCTGCAGCCATTCTTTGTATGTTTTAGTCTTCAGGCCTTTGATCATGTTAGTTGCTCTTCTCTGAATTTTTTCCAACTCTCAACATCTTTTTTGTGACATGGTGACCAAAACTGGCTGCAGTATTCCAGGTCTGGTCTTACTAGGGTTTTATAAAGCAGTACTAATACCTTGCGTGATTTTGATTCTATGCCTCTGTTTATACAACCCAAGATTGTATTAGCTTTTTTGGCTGCTGCTGCACACTGCTGGCTCATGGTTAAGTGATCATCCACTAGGACTCCAAGGTCCCTCTCACAGTTACTGTTTTTAAGCCAGGTCTCACCCAATCTGTACTTATACCTTTGATTTTTCCTGCCTAAATGTAAAACTTTGCTTTTCTCCACATTGAAACTCATTTTGTTGGAAAGGGTCCATTGTTCAAGTTTGTCAAGATCTTTTTGGATCCTGAGTTTGTCTTCTGGGGTGTTCGCTACTTCTGCTAGTTTGGTGTCATCTACAAATTTGATGAGTTCCCCTTCAATTCCCTCATCTAAGTCATTGATGAAGATATTGAAGAGTACTGGGCCTAAGAGGGAACCTTGTGGTACCCCACTGCTTACTTCTCTCCATGTGGATGTAGTGCCATTGAGGACTACTCATTGAGTAGTTTGCCAGCCAGCTACAGATGTTGTCTATTGCACCTTTTTCTAGCTTACCAAGGAGTAGGTTGTAGTCTACTTTACCAAATGCCTTACTGAAGTCTAAGTATACTACGTCCACAGTATTTCACTGATCTATTAGTTTAGTCACTTTGTCGAAGAATGAAATAAGATTGGTTTGGCATGATCTGTTTTTAACAAACCCGTGCTGGCTACTGGTTATAACTTTGTTTGTTTCTAGTTGTTCGCAGATCTGTTTTTTGATTATCTTTTCTAGGATCTTCCCAGGTATTGCTAAACTGATTGGTCTGTAGTTTCCTGGGTCCATTTTTCCCCCTTTCTTGAAGATGGGAACCATATCAGCCTTTTTCCAATCCTCAAGTTCTTTCCTGGTGCTCCAGGATTTTTGGAAGATGTGGTGCAATGGTTCTGAGATAACATCTGTCAGCTCCTTCAGAACTCTGGGATGTAATCTGTCAGGCCCCGGTGATTTATACCATTTTCTTGCTTATTTTAATTTTTGTTTCTAATTTGTCTTTTGCAGTGGTTTTTTGGGTATGTTGGACTATAGTTTCTTTTTGTGTGAAGACTGATGCAAAGTATGAGTTAAGCAGCTCTGCTTTCTCCCTGTTGCGTTATTTCCTTGCCATCTTCTCTCTTTAGTGGGTCTAGTTTCCTTGACTTTTTTCTTGTTGTTAATATGTTGGAAAAAACTTTTTTTTATTATCCATGATTTCTTTTGCAAGTCTTTGTTCGTTCTGAGCCTTTGCTTTCCTGACTTCATCTTTGCATGTACTGGCTGTCTGCTGATAATCAGCCTTAGTTATGTGCCCCTTTTTCCATTTTTTGTATTTGTTCTTTTTGTCAGAGAGATCTTTATGTAGCCATGCTGGTTTCTTCTTGAATTTCTTGTTTTTCTTTTTCAGTGGTATTGTGCTGATATGGGCTTTTATGATCGCATTTTTCAGTTTCCCACGCTTCTTGGGTTGTTTTCCCCTTTAGGATTTTTATCCATGGGATCTTTCCTAGGATTTTTATCCATGGGATCTTTTATCTGAGTTTATTAAAGTTGGCTCTTACGAAGTTTAAGACATTGGTTGGATTGTTTTCTATTGCTAGTGTTTGTGTTATATTAAATTCCGATATAACATGGTCACTTTCACCCAAGGTTCTGACAACTTCATCTCCCTCTATCACATCTTCTCTATTAGTTAGAATCAAGCCCAGTATGGCTTTTTGCCTAGTTCCCTCCTCCACCTTTTGGATGACAAAGTTGTCAGCTAGGTTGGTCAGGAATCTGTTTGATCTCCTGCTCACTGTAGTTTGTCTCCCAGTTGATATCTGGATAGTTGAAGTCTCCCATTACTACTGTGGTATGCTTCCTACATACATTTGTTAGCAAGGAGTTCATCTATTTCTTCTGATTGGCTGGGTGGCCTGTAATATACACCTATGGTAATGTCACTTTTTTTCTCTTTTATATTGACCCATATACATTCTGGAGAGATTTTATCTTGGATCATGTGCATTTCTGTAGATGTGTAGGGTTCTCTTACATATAGTGCAACTCCTTCTCCTCTTTTTGTAGACCTGTTTCTTTTGAACAATTTGTATCCATCCATCAGTCCATTCCATTCATGGGTTTCGCCCCACCAGGTTTTTGTAATGCCTATGTCATTTGTATATAAGCATTTAAGACTTTTATGCCTGTTCGTGGGTATGTTTCCTGCATCTCCTGATTGTTATTTGGGTTTTTCTTTTTTTCTCGTCTCTGCCTACCTCATTGTTTGATTTGCTTTCTTGGGATTTATGATTGTTTTTGGGTTCTAGAGATCCTAAAGATAGGTCACCCTCCCCCCATAATTTTAGTTTAAAGCCCTCCTGATGAGTTGGGCCAATCTTTTTCTGAGTACATTTTCCCCTGTTTTCGTGAGGTGCAGCCCATCCCTTGCCAAGAGTCCTTAGATTTACATATGATAGAATATCAACAATAGATTTTAAAAGATAACTGCTACAAAGTATCTCTACATTCTTACTGTAGGTCAATAGTATTATCCAAATACTGCAGAACGCTAATACAGTAGTGTACCTTTCATTCTGGACATACTAGGGGATGGAGAGAAAATAGTTCATGACACAATTGGACTAAACTACAGTATTATTTCTCTCTGAGAACTTTCAGTAGACAATTTTCATGGGCAAAATCCATGCTAAATGTTTTGGGAATGGACCCTTAGGGTTGCAAACTGTGTAAAACTGTATCACACTTGTGGTAGGATTCCTTGGGGGGAAAGAACTTAGGATGGTGTTTTTAACTACCGAATGATATGCTTATGGCATACATAACAGCTTTTATTCCCCATTCAGAATGATGGGACACTGTTGTCATTTTTACCAATTCTTGTTAAAGAAGGGTATCGGAATGAGGACCACAAAAACGAAGCAACGTTGTCATTCCATACGTTGCAGGAATATTGGAAAATCTCAGGAGGCTCTTCAGTCAACACAACATACGTGCATACTTCAAACCCAAGAATACACTGAGGCAGAAGCTTGTCCGCACCAAGCATAAAATACCCAGACACAAACTGAGCAACATGGTACATGCAGTACAATGCAGTGAGCCATGTGCAGATCTGTACATTGGGGAAACAAAACAACCACTTCATAAACGCACGGCACAACATAGGAGGACAAACCTGTCAGGACAAGAGTCAGCAGTCCATCTGCATTTAAAAGACAAAGTCCACTCTTTGGAAGACAGCAAAGTCCACATTTTGGACAGAGAGGACCGCTGGTTTGAAAGAGGGGTCAAAGAAGCCACCTATGTCAAAACTGAACAGCTCTCTCTCAACAGAAGGGGAGAGATATGACATCATCTATCTCCAGTCTACAACACTCCTTTCAACAGTTCAAAGGAGGCTCCACACCCATTTGCACTACTCAGGTGACCCTGATGACACAGATAAGCCTCTCCTCCCCCCCCCATCCAGTCAGAGCTAAAGAAGCTTCTTGGATGAGAAGTGAAATGTGTTCAAAGAAAAACTAACCCAGTTTCCTCGTGAAAAAGCATCTTTGGGATAAGTGGCTTCCTCCCAAATCCACGTGCAATGGATTTTATTTTAAATATCTGTGCACCCCCTTTCATTACCCCCAGCATTGAATTTATTCGAGGAATAAATTTACACAACTCCATTCTTAACTGTATATACGAAACGCTCCCTTCTTTTCTATAAGAACATCTGAAGCCCAATATCTTTTAAATGATTAAAACTCTAAGAGTTTATATTAAAAATATTAGCTCAAACATGTATTTCCGAAACTTTTTAAGCACATTTTCCTATCAACCGACTTATTAAATAGAGTTTACTGAGCTGACGACCTACAAAAACACTAAATGTCTTCGGGTTTTAAGGCATCTTCGATTCTGCTGCAAAAGATGCCACGGGAGCATTTCCGGAAACGGCTTCATCAACGTAGAAAATATTCAAGCATTACAAGGCAAAAAGATGCTACTTTCCCATTTGAGTGTGTGGATACCACCTAAGAAACAAAAATAAACCCTTTCCATATACTATAAAGCAAGGCGCGCTAGAAAATTCTCCTTTCTCCATTAAAGACAGCCCAACCTACTCAATAACCAGCCCGTGAAAATGGCAGCCTGGAACCGGAAGTAGCAACGACGTCACATCATTGTTTTTCAAAAGCACTCTGAGTTACGCATCTTCCGTATTTTTACTCCAGAACCCGGATGGAGACGACCGACTCCCCAGGGGCAGTGCGGCTTACTCCAAGGGCGCATGCGCCTGGGGCGGATGAGTGTAGGCGTTCTATCAAGAGAATGCGCCGAGCCGGCAGGCTGCACTAAGTATTGGTGCGCAAGCGCGGTGGAGGCAGGCCGGGATTTAAAGGGGTAGTGTCCACGGGTGCTGCCCCTTAGGGGGAGTCTGTTCGGCGTTTTCAGAGGCGAGTGGGCTTTGTTCCTCCTGTTTGGAAACATGGTTTGCGGGGGCTTCGCCTGCTCACGCAATGCTCTGTGCGCGCTCAACGTCGTTTACGTGGTGAGTATGACAACCGGACGGCCGGCTGTTTCGCTTTTTCCCGGACGTAGCTTGGAAAGAAGAGGAGCGTGGAGTTCCTATGGAGGGAAAGGGGGGGGGCTAGATCTAGGGGGGACGAAGGCTGGGCTGTGTGTGTGTGTTTGTGCGTGCGTGCGTGATGTTGGGGGGGGGAGACCCGTACCCATAATGGGGTTGCTGGGTGCCCCGGGAGGAGCTTGGATTTGGGGTGGGGGGGAAAGAGATGTAGCCAGGTCTTTTTCTGACTGTATTCTTGAGGCTGGGGGGGGGGGGGGTTAGGGTTGGAAGGAAGGTAGTTTTTAGAGGAAAATAAGTAAGAGCTGGCTGAAGGGATGACCTCACTGCTTCTATGGCAGTTGCCCCAATCTGGTGACCTTCGTTTGGCTTGGACTGCAGGTAGTCCTCGGTTTACGACCACAATTGAGCCCAAAATTTATGTTGCTAAGGGAGAAATTTGTTAAGCGAATGTTGCCCCATTTTACAACTTTTCTTGCCACCTTTGTTGTGAATCACTGCAGTTGTTACATTAGCAACATGGTTGTTAAGTGAATCTGGCTTCCCCCACTGACTTTGCTTGTCAGAAGGCTGCAAAAGATGATCATGTAACTCTGGGACACCGCAACTGTCATAAATATGAACCGGTTGTCAAGCATCCAAATGTAAACTATGACCATGGGGATGCTGCAATGGTCATAAGCGTGAAAAATGGTCGTAAGTCACTTTCAGTGCTGTTGTAACTTTGAACGGTAACTTAATGAACTGTTGTAAGTCGAGGACTACCTGTATAGTATAGTCTCCAGAATGTATAACTAATATGGCTGGAAATGTTGAGGGTGGTTGTTGTCCTTTAGAGCAGAGGCCCCCAACCATTTGGGCACCAGGGACCGGTTCCACGGAGAGAGGTTTTTCTGTGTGTTGCCAGCAGACTGGTTACTGGCATGCCGCGGCCCCCCGGTACTGGTCCATGTACCGGGGTTGGGGACCCCTGCTCTAGAACAGAGCAGATGGAGGAAGACTTAAGATTAATCAGTGAGAGAATGCATGGTAGGAAAGAGAGAGATTTGTTTTATCTGACTTTTTTGTGGGCCAGGAAATTATAGTACAGTGAGAAGAGAAGCTATAAATCCTGTATACTTTGTTTGCAAGCATTGTGGGGGAGGTGATGAGTGGGTAATGGGTTGGCCCCAGAAGAGTTGGACTAAAACATATGTCTTGTCAGGGTTGCATAGAATGGGAAGCTTCTGATATTTATCTAAGAAAATTTGCCTCTGCAAGTTTGAAATCTTGCCTCAAATGTTCCCTTGACTGCTGACAATCACTGAACCTTCGCTTCTTGTTTATTGACCTATGTTTTGTCAGATTTGGTAAATAAGTTACAAAGATTATCTGTCATCTGATTGTCTGTCATTTGATTGTCCCTGGCTACACTGCAGGAACATCTGGGAAACGTTGGAAAAAATAAGAATTAGCAATACATAGCTCAAAAAAGAGCAGAGCAGAAAATGACTGGTTTAGTGGAACTTTAATAGTTTTCCTTGTATAGTGATAGAAAATGTGTGATTTTTTTATAACTATATTTTCTATTTAAAAATATAAGACTGGCATTAGGGATACAGAGGTTCTAAGACATCCTCAGCTTCAGAAATTCATTGGCTGATTGGGCCAATCACTCTCTTGGAACGCAATCTACCTCACGTGGTGATAGGGAAATGGGAAAATGGAGTGCTATGTGTGCTGCACAAAAGGTGGTCATAAACCTAACAAACCAATAAATGAACTTTTCTCCTCCCTTTGAGAAAGACAAGAGGCCTAGAATGGATTAAATATGGATAGTAAGAATTTGTTGGAATTAATATGTTCTGCTGTAAGAAGTCTTACAGTGTTGGAATCATGGGTGAAAGAAAGAACTTTTAAAAAGCCCTGAGACTAATGGTTTTAAATGATGTAAGTTGCATTCAGCATCAAAGGACAGAATCTTTATAACTGAGTAATCCTACTTAAAACTGTAAGAAGTGGGGCAGATTCTTTGTTGGGTAACCCGATTCCATTTTCACGGAATAGACAACTTGGCTACATTTTTCATGCAATTAGAAATTTTTGAAAGCAGAGCTACTGCCCTCAAAGCAGATTACATATATTTATTGCTTTAGGTATTTGCCACCTAGAATAGATAATGAAAAGTCATGGCCAGAACATTGGGTCTAACTGTAATTAATGTTTCATTACAAAACCATGGGATGGTATCTGCTTGACAATTTTTCTAAAGGTAATAGAATAACAGAGTTGGAAGGGACATTGGGGGTCTTCTTTTCTGACACCCTGCTCAAAGATGAGACCCTGGAGATACCATTCCAGAGAAATGGTTGTCCAATCTCTTCTTAAAAACCTCCAGTGTTGGAGCACTTGGAACTTCTGGAGGCAAGCCATTCCACTGATTAATTGTTCTCACTGTCAGGAAATTTCTCTTTTGTTGTAATTTGGATCTCTCTTTAATAGGTTTCCACCTGTTATTTCTTGTCCTGCCTTCAGGTGCTTTGGACAATAGGTTGACCCCCTCTCCTTTGTGACTTTACATTAAATATTGGAAGACTGCTATCATATAATATTGTATATTATATAACAGTGGTGGCGAACCTATGGCATAGGTGCTAGAGGCGGCAGTCAGAGCCCTCTCTGTGGGCACGCGCGCCATCGCCCCAGTCCTAGGCCTTCACCTGGGTTTTATAAAACCTTTTCGCTTTAGGCCTCCGCCGCCGTGTAAAAAAAAAAAAAGGTTCAATCAATCAGTCAATTTCAACTTCTTGCGGGGAAAAAAAATCTTGCAAAGTTGGAATTGATTGATTGAACTTTTTAGTCCCACCCAGTCTGCTGTTACCACCGCAGCCACGCCCACCCAATGGGCCACACCCACGCGGCACCCGACGATGCATAAGTGGGTTTTGGGTTGCAGTTTGGGCACTCGGTCTCTAAAAGGTTCTCCATCACTGTTATATAATATACAATACAGTAAGATGCTGTTGAGTACACATGCAGATGCTTGAAGTTGCAAGACAGGAAAAAAAATCAAGTAATGCTTGGTACACTATTTGAATAGGGAGTGTGTTCCTAGAGACCTTGGCTAGAGACTTTTTTCAGCATAAAGTTACACATTCTGATTAAGTGGGATAAAGCACAGCTCATACATTTTATTTATATGTAAGTCACCTTCCTGGATCACCCTTACCCCAATGTCCACATGTGTTGTTTTTTTTTGAAATTTTAAAATATGCAAGTTGATTCACACAAAGACTGACCCATCTTAGTGGACAGGCCTGAAATATAATTATTAGAAAGTATGGTGAGTAGTAAATCTTTGAGATTATAGTGTGAGGGGAAGGGAGAGAATTAGATTTCTCTTCCTCAGAATAGTTGTCATTCACAAGCCACAAACATCTTACTCAAGATGAAGGCATTATTTTCCTATATGGGCATCTCTGCAGGTGATTTGTACAACTATGCTCTCTCCCCCAATTATTTATTTCCTGCTGTCCAATGATAAAATTGAAATCCACCTCTCTGCTACCCAGAAAAAAAAGCTAAAATAAAGAAAATGGGATTACTGTATTAAGGAAAAGTCAAAGAAGATGGCCCCATTGACTGCATTTGGTCTGGTGGCTTCTGGTCCCACACTCATGACAAATACTGAGTGATAACCATCTTCATACACAGTTCAGAGGCATTTGATATTTTCCAGTCAAATGAAGTTATTTGTAACCAACCTCATACACACAGCTATGCTTGGGACAAGTTGATACATTGTAAAACTTCATCTAAGGGGAGCATTCAGTGCCTTAGTTAAAACGGGCCTCACCTAAGATTTTTGCAAATATTTATCACAAAGGCTTTACATTTTTCTGCATCAAAGTAAATGTGGTTGGTGTATTTCCCTGCATAATTTCACAGTTTACTTGCTGCTTTAACAAAGCAAGTTCCTAGCATTTATTGCTGCAGTCAAACCCACAAGTAGCAGAATTACCTGTCATTTCCACAAATCAGATGAATAGATATAATAAGAAATAGTATAGAATATCTAACCCACTTCAGATTTCCAGGGAAGAAATGGCAAACTGAAGATGGCTCCATTAAAAGCAGATCTGACAATTGCAGTAGGTTTAACAGCTGGCGAGTAGACCAGCAAGCTATAATTGCTTTCAGATGAGAAAACTTGAGATCACCCACAAATGCTCCGGACAGTTGGTCCTTGCGAGGAGAATGCAAGATAGGAGTCACCAGCTGATTTAGAGTTCTGGGACACTAAAGGGAATAGTCATCCTTTTGCTCAAACCACAGTTGGTGCCTTCAAAAGGACACTGGGTTTTCATACTTCCTTTTTTAACCACTTAAAGAAATTACTTGTTAACCACTTTTCAGTTATTGGAAATCTTTGGATTAACAGGTTTTACAGCACTAGGTAAGTTTCCTTCAATCCTTAGCAGAAGAAATTTTAAATACGAGTTTAAGGAATTAAAAAAAAATCTTTTTGGAATAAACAGCAAAAGGTGATTAGAAGTTTGATTTTGGAAAGTTATAAATGGACTAAAGATCCAGATGGATTTGAAATAGGATTTTGAAATTAATTATATGAATCCTTCCCCGGAGGAAAATGCTCTTGTTTTGAATTCTCTTAAAAAAAACATAGGTTTAGACTTTGAAGGTTGAACACGAGAGGAAATTAGAAGCAACTAAAAATTACAGTTAAAGGAGAAAAACATTTACATTTGACCTAATAACAATGAAGCAAAATATTTTAATATTGGAATATTAAAGGATATTTTTGAACAGTGGAGTCAGAATGTTAATTTTAAGATTGTCTGCCTCTATAAGACTGAGTTTTATACAGGTTATGAAAGAGGAACAAGTTTTACTGGACAAGATTAACACTGATCGGAAAGTGGATTTAAAAATGGCAAGTTGTAAGCATGATATAGAAAAAAGATGCTGCA